CTTTGGAGGTTGAACAAGGAGCTACTATTGAAGTTAGAGGTGTGGTGCACCTATCTGCTTCTACTACCAGGCTACACCGTACCTCTTCCTAACTACAAATACAAAGAGTAGGTGTGTCACAGCTTGTTCTTGTACTTTTGTACTCGTGACTGAATGCCCATTGCTGATAAATGAGTTTATCTGGCCTTTCTTCCAGTTGTGATCATGCCAGTAATGATTATGGCAAGCTGGGTTTTAAGTTGGCTCTTAACTTCTGATGCTTTGCTATAATGAAAGTTTAGATACTATATGGGAAAGAGCATTTGAGGAGATGGCATGTGACACGGCTCTTACAGTTATTCTGGGTATCCAAAAGCATGTAAAAAATGGAACTTAGTAAAGGGAGTAAACAGGATTGACTACAAATATAGGGTTTGCCTCCAAGCTTTGTGGTGTGTTAGTGACAGTTGACAGTTATTATATCAAATCAGCTAATGTTCTTGGGCAACATTTACAGCTGTTGGGTACTATAGTGTGTATCATAGGATTGATATATTTTATTAGACCAACTCAAATAGTTGGAAAAATTCTTCTTTGCAAGCTTTCAAGCTTTTGCAATTTTTCCACCATTTTGAGTTAGCCTAATAAAAGATATCAGATTTACCCAAAAAACCTTGTCTGCCTATGTCCTTAGTCCAACACGGCTACAACCCATACCCCTGTATCATAGGACTGGGTTTTTTTGTGAGACAAAAGAATGCTTGACTTTTTTGTATTCTTCAGTGGGCTAACACAAACACACTGATATGCCATCAATATCTGAAATTGGTGCTAAGCCCCTTTTGTCTTGCAAGGTCCTAATTATCAATCAGTGCTGCCACTTTCCTAAGCCTGGTGCTTGGTGTCATGGACATGATTTGGACATGGGTGGTTGTGGTTCAAGGGGGTTAGGGGTTACAAGACTGGGAAGTCAAGAGCCAAGTGTCATGAGCTAGGGAGTCCAAACACTAGAGGTTAGACATGGGTGCAGGCAGGAGCTGGTGACCAGGCTCTAGGGCACAGTAATGCCAACTCTCATGAAAAATCAAGACTCCTGATTTCCAAGTCAAAGTAACTCTGACTCATAGACTCCTGATAGAGAAATCAAATCTCGGGATTTTTTCTTCTGTCACATATAGAGAGCATCAAGCTGGTAAGCCTGTGGAGGGGAAGGGGCGGGAGGAGAGCATATCGAGACCCCCATGGTGAGGAAAGGAGTGGGCAGAGGCTGGGGTGAATGGGGTTCCAGGGCTGGGTGGGTCATGCAACAGAGCCATGGCCGGCTGGCTGTTTGTGTGTGTGTGCGCGTGTGTCTGCCCTTCACTTGCAAACCACAGCTCCCCCAGCCTGCTGCTGCCCCTCACTCCTGATGCACAGTACCCTGCATCCTGCCAGGGTGTGCAGGGATCTCCCCTGCCCGGGCTCCAACCTCCCCCCCCACACCCACCCACTGCCCTCTATACCTTTACAAATAACACCCCCCCCCAACACACACAATTCAAAAATAGCATCTCATGATTTACGTTCCAAATCTCTTATTTTTCAAGTTTGTCTCATGATTTTTGACACAGTGGGATTGGCAACACTGAAGTAATTTTCAGCCAGGGTGCCACAACACGTTGGGATGCCTTGAGATCCTTTCAAGGGTGTCATGCACTATTGGCATTGTTAGATGTGTAAACAAAAAGATAAATCCAGAGATTTCAAATAGGAATCCAAAATGTCAAAACCATTCTGACCTGTTGTGGTCTTTCTGAGTTCTTTGTAACAGGAGACTTGCTCTCTTATTTTTCAGTAATCAGGAAATGAATGAAAGCTAAGAGCTGGCAGTTTTGATGGGTACCTTGAGTCTAATGGGGGGTGTCTGGTGTCTGGCAAGGTTGAGAACCACTGACCTCAGTAAAGGGAGCTGGGGACAAGGAATCAACAGCCAGACTTGGGACCAAGGACACCGGGGCTAGGCAGAAGGGGGACCTGTCTTGTTGCAGTGCTCTGCAAACTTGCAAAGGTTTTTGCCTATATGCAGCACCACATCTGCTGAAACCACTGGTAGCCAAGGACAATCAAGGACAGCTCAGGGCTTGTGTGCCACTTTAACTCCTGACACTTGGTGCTAATTCTCTCACCTGTTTTAAATTCTGCCTGAACATGATTACAATAAGGAAGACTGAAGTCCAGGATAAGAGGTGACTGTTATTCAAAGGCCTCTCTCCTGCAATGTTTTTCATTAATGTGGAGAGGGTGAAATGTCAAGGCTTGTGACTATTGGGTGGGGTGGGGCGTGGGGAGTCCGAGGAGTGATTGGGCTTGTGTAGAATAGACATTCTCACCTTATCTTAATTAACTAGATCAGGCAGGTCTGGATTAACACATAGGCAAACCAGGCACATGCCTAGGGCCCTAAGTGAAGAAGGGGCCCATTTGTGCTTATTTTACATGCGGCAGGCTGGCTGGTGAGCTCACCGGCAGCCCACCAATCAGGGGAAGGCAGAAGGAAGCCCCACCCTGACTCAAGAGCGAGGTGAAAGAGAGGACCTGTGAGGGAACTAACCCCTTGGGCTTCCTCATTGGTCCATTCCTAGCCTGGCCGAACCAGCACTGGGCTATCTCCACAACCCGAGTAATGCCACAGTGCCAATAGTGCAAGAAGTAACAGTCTGGTGGGGGCTGCAGTGCCCTCACCTCCTGCTGCTACAAGCTGCTTGCACATTGTGCTGCAGCTCTAGCCTGGAGTGGAAGGGAGTTGAGGGAAGCATGGATGGCCTGAGGGGAGCAGTGGTGGTGGCCAGGCCATGGTGGCAGGGTAGAACTGTGGCCTAGCATATGAACAGCTGGCAGTGGGAGGAGGTGAGGGCAGCACAGTGCATGTTTTGTATCAATAAAAAATTGTGTTTGACTGCTACCTATATATATATACAGAGAGAGAGAGAGAGAGAGTGGTGTTTGATTTTAATTACAGAAAAACATGTATTTGGGGGTTTTTAAATTAGAGAATCTTGGATTTTTATCAGAGAATTTAGATGTTTAAACAGCTTGACTAGTTATAACTTGGCCTTGCATGAGTTGCATGAAATGGCTTTCTGCTGCTGATTTGGCAGTGGTTTTGAGGGTGGATACAGTTGGGAGGAGCACAGGAGATGTATATCTTGTAAGGTCTGCTAATTTAGTTATTACAGCCTCTTCCTTTCTGCTATAACCCTGGCAACAGCAGCAGTACCTTAGCAGCAGCAGCTGAAGAATTTTCAACGCTTATTCTAAGTATCAACTTTTCTTTTTTCTTTTTTCTTATTTGTTGCCCTTCTAGTGGTTTTTAAGGGTATAAGGGGAAGGCCAGAAATATGGAGGTATTTTAAGGAAACCATCCTAAAGCATGTTCCAGGTATAAATGACCTACTTCTGAAAAAGTAGATCATTTCCTCAGGCTTCTCCAAACCAGTTAATCTCTCAAGTACCACCCTGCCCTCCTTTTGTTTGATTTCAGATCAACAAGGCTAGCCACCTCTGTTACATACACAAGAAGCTTTGATTTTATGGCTTGATGCACTTGATTCAAATCCATGTTTAGCATGTTTTAAAATTTGTGTTGCAGCATATGCTGGGTTACCTGGGTTAGAAGAGTTAGCCACTGTGTCAGGGTTAAAATTTAGAAAGAAAGTTACAGTTAGTTTTCCAAGTGTGATGTGAATGTTGCTTAAATTTTTGTAACTGATTTCATGTTTGATTATGTTGTTCTTGGTAACTGGCTGACATTGTAATTACACACACACAGACACACTTTGTACCTTTAAGTTGCCAGGTTTCACTTTGAAATCTAAATTAGATCTGATAAAATGTTACAGGTTACAATGCCTCTGAATGACTAAACTTGCAACAGAGTATTGAGGAGTTGCTCTGTTGCCATTTTCATTGTGGTGGCAAACAAAAAACCTAGGATTCTGGACTAGCCTAAGGGATTGACACAACACCTCATTCAATGAGTGACAGAAAGGGTTTATTTAACTACAAGTATTCAAAGTCAAATGACCCCAAACCAAAGTGAAGTCCAGTAATTAGCTATAACAGGCGGGCAAAATGCAGCCTATCTGGCCTAAAAAAATTATAAAATTAATGTTTATCTGCCCCTGGTTGCCTGTCATGCCGCCTTCGATGGCTTGCCAAAACTCAGTAAGTGGCTCTCCGCCCAAAATAATTGCCTGCCTCTGAGGTATAAGGTGATGGTTTCTCACCAAACAGGCAACAAGAGAGACAGGCTGTTTCTTCTAGCTTCTCAAGATAGCTGGGGCGCAGCAGCAGTTCTTGTCAGAGAGATTTTTCATTCCTGAAGCACATGCTGTTAGCTGTTCCACTTCTTTCTTATACCCTTAGTTCAGCATTTTCAAAGCGTTTTTGTAGCTGTGTAAATCAAGAGAGAGTCTCAAGCAATAATTAACAGGGAAATCCTGTTAATAAAACTGCTCATTATTGGTTACCAGAAAGTTCAAATTTGAATGAATTACCTTCCTCACTGACAAGAGGTTATCCATTTCTACTAAGTTTAAAACATATCAAGGAACAGATTAACAACCAGGAAAAACACAAGGTTTTGGGGAGTATCCTTGGAAAATCAATGGAGCCACTAGACAAAACAGAAATAAATCAGGAGGAGACATCTATCACACATGGAGAATGACTCTTCCTATACATAACATGAGTTAATTGCAAGAGAAATATTTATCATACTAATTAATCAAGGATAAACATTTCAGCAGCTGCATGCTAGACAACTAGGAGCCTGCTTGAAATCATCATGAATATAACAAGATAAACTGCAAGAGATAACTCATTATTTCTTCTTAGATGGCCTTGCCATGAACTTGCATCCTCTTGCACTATGCAGTTAGCATCAGTATTTTGTATTTTAACTTTTGTGAGTAGGTCCCAGCTCAGCATGAGTTTCAGCGTCATCACATTGCACTGTTTGACTGTGCTCTTTTATTACAAAGCCGCAGGATGGTGAAGGCCAAGTTTTGGACCCTGAAGAAGCACTTCCAAGGATTCCCCAAAGCTAGCGACTTTGAGCTGAAAGAGGTGGAGCTGCCAAAGCTGAAGGATGGAGGTAAGGAGAGAGTTCCTTCAGAGGCCAGTGGTGTGACTGTATTTTAATCCTTCACTAATAATTTATAAATCTATATCAAAATAGAGTCTTACCAAGTACAAACAACCAGGGGAGTTGGTCAAGAGATAGACTCTCCTGTTCCCACAGAGAATCCTCTGAGGTCCACATACTGGAAACTCAACAGTGTTCAAGTATAGAAGCAGATTTTTAGGAGAATATTTTCAAACCTTACTCTGCTCCCATTTACATCAGTGACAAAACTCTCATCAACTCCAGTGGGAGCAGAGTTGGGCAGGGAGCTTCTAAAAATCCCACGTTTACTACTATGGGTCTGCTCCAGGCAAAACCAACTACTCACAGGGTGCATCTACATGTGCAAATTTATTGTGCAGCAACCAAAATTACTGCACAGTAAAGGTACATATCTACAAATGCACACCTGTACTGCACAGTAAATATGGTGACTTACTCTGACTTGAGTGTAAATTTGATCCCTGTATCATGCACAGATCAAATTTACGCCTGATCAATAACATCCATGTAGATGCCTTACTGTGCAGTAACACTGTGTGTGTGGACAGACTTGAGACTAACTTTAGTCCCAAGTCAGACCACACACAGTGTTAATGCGCTTTAATGTCTGAACGTGTAGTTGCTGGCCTATTCCTGCTTACTGCGCAGTAACTGCCAGAGATACCCCTGGTCAAAGTAATGCTTTTTAAAAACCAGCTCTTCTTCTGTTTCACCACTTTATTATAATTTGAATTGGCTTTGGACAACTGGTGCTGCCTGCTTTCTGCAATCTCCTCAGTTAGAGTTTAAGTAATGAAAAGTGACAGGTGTGTTTAACTTTCTGGTTCTCTTTTACTTGCAGTGACACAGCTGTAAACATAACAGAATTGTTCATGGATCTGTTAACATACCTACTTTCTCTTAATCTTTCTGAAGAAACTAGGATGAATTATGTTTTAAATACCTTTTTCTTAAAGACTTAGTTTTTGGCAAATAAGTTTTTAAAAACAAAATAAACCAAAAACTACCCAAGCCAACATCTCTCTTCAAGATTTAAAGGAAGGAGAGGTACATGGAGGAGTTTTAAAATGGATTTTTTACACAGTACAATGCCAATTCAGAATATTTGTGGTCTATCACCACCCTCTGCTGGTTGAATAAGGAAAAGGCACTTTGTATTGCGTTTTAAAGGAAGCAGCTTCCTCATTTGGGTGTCAGGATTTCAAAGCTTCTTATTGAGAGACACTGGGTGCATCTACATGAGACATTTGCTGCGGAGTTGCCTAATTAGCTCCACAGTAAAGTCTCAGTGTCTGCATGTGTGGCCTTATTAGGTCACAGTAAACTAATAGACACTGCTGTTTCTTAGTACTTATCAACACAAGCACTATCTTGTGGTGGCATTATTTAATGCACTGTAACAGATGGAGACACTGACAAGGCTGGCTGAGGCACGTGGGTGCTTCAGTGTGGGGGCTGCCTGCTGAGTAGCCCTGCGCTGGAGCATCCTCGTGCCCCAGCCAGCCCCTCCACAAGACGCTTAGCCAGGTTGGAGCAGCCCTGGGCTGGCAGGCTAGCCCCCTGGGCCCCTTGGCAGCTGGGGTTGCTCCAACCCAGCTCAACATGCTGTGGTCCCAGGTGCACATGTAAAGGGTGCACCAGGAGCAATAAACTCCGGCGTGAACTGCGCCAGAGTGTATTGCATCATGCTAATTGCATGTGTATATGTACCCATTAAGAATGAAAAATGTGACCCAAGAAGCTTTCTTTCACAGCCTGGGTCATGTGTACATGCTTTGTTTGTTAACAGCTCTAACCCAAACACACTCAACTGATTTCATGTAATTTTGCTTACATGTAGGGACCTACCTAATTCACGGAGGCTGCCTCCAGATTTTGTGGTCCTGGTGTGGCTCTGGGCACCATTTCTGTGGTAGAGTGCAGCCCCCCTACCTCTGATTTGCCATGGGCCCCTGGAAGTCATGCCCCTAGCAAATTTGCGGTTTCTACAAAAACCATGAAATCGTAAATTTGGTAGGTCCCTAATTATATGATATGTGGTCAGTGCCTAGAGGAGCAGCATACTTGCTTTGTAGCTTGTGATGTCTTATTTATAGCAGGTCTCAATGTAATTGCATCCCTGTTCCATTGCAGAGGTGTTGCTTGCATCTGTGTTCCTCAGCCTTGATCCTTACATGAGGTATGTTTTCTTTATCCCTTTATCCCTAACTATTGGTCAGGTTTTTTCTCTTGAATTGCTATTAGAACTAAAAAAGCTCTGATAATTTCTAGCATTTAGCTCTTCCCAGATCTTTCAGAGAGCTAATTGTCCTATGAAAAGCACCAGAGCCCTATTTGTGTCTTCACTACTCTGCAACAGCTTTCATACTGATGAACCTAGTGACAATACAGCATCCCTCAATTTCTACAACATAGAGCTGGAACACAGTTCAGTCATGCTGAGTAGGCTAGACAACCATGCTACAGCTCTGGAATTTCGCTGGGCTCTAACAGAGTTTGGGAATGCAGGACTGAACATGGTTCACATTTCTACACGAGATGTTCACTGCACATACGCCTAATACCCTGCACGGT